ACATTGAAATAAAGTAGTTTTGTTTTACCATGTAATAACTATCACTTTGTCTTAGTTAGGGTTTCTGTTGCTATGATAAAACAAACACCATGACCAAAAATGACAAATGACTTGGGGAAGAAAGACTGAATAGTTTTAAGGAAGACGATGGCATGGCTTTGTGTAAATGTTGACCTGCAAGTAAACACCAATATTTTTTTTTCTTTTGAGACAGGGTTTGTCTGTATAGCTTTGGAGTCATTAAGAGAGAGCTAGCCAGTAAGAAACCTGAGCTATCAGCCAAACAGATTCTAATTAATATAGCTTCTGTGTGTTCATTTGGGGCTAATAAGCTGCAGGATCGGGCAGGAAAGGAACTACACGAGAAACTTCAGTATCCCCAATGGTTATATAAGGAGAATGATAGTATCAATCACAGATAGATAAATAATTTACCTAAAAGTAAAAAAGGGTGCCATCCTGTAAACTTACCACGTAAATCAGGGCCATTGGAGAACATAACATATTAAAACTATATCAGGAAAACTCCACCCAAGAACATATCAAACACACCAAACAGAGGAAAGGATGCAACACTTTTACCTAGACTCCCCCCAAAAGGAAGGTATCTAACACTGTGATGCCAACATGTCCTCTAATCACCTGGTGTGTGCATCAAAAAACCACAGGCAGAGAACTCCCAACAGTCCTGGGAACTTCAGCTTGAGTGGGTTTCCACTGATGGTTAGTTCTGTTCTGGTCATTAATCTCTCTTGACCTGGCCCTACACTATGATGGATAAATAAGAATCTGGGAAAACGAATAGGCTGATGGATGTTTATTCAGGATGAAATCACTTACACCAGAAACAGACAACTGCCAGCAGGTTTCCATCTGAAGGATGCCTCTGGATGTTCTCTGTCTCCAACCAGGAAGGTAGAGAGCCAGCTGGGGGCTGGGACCCCAGACCTAGTCCCCCCAGGTCATGCCTGCACCTGTCCCCACATCCCAGTGGGCATGGTCAGTGTAACAGGTGTGGGCAGAGTGGATATCTCACTACATACACTACACGTCACCTCTACGACCTCCACAGTCCTACACCTGGGCTCAGCTGACCCTGTGGTTTGACTTGACTCAGCTAACAGTGTTCCAGTGACCAGTGTTTTCAGCTGGGTTCATTAATATCTTCTCTAACTACCCTCAGTGACTCGTGTTGTACCTGACTTATTTGGAACCTCTTGAACTCCACTATGGCTATCTGAATCCTTTGTAGCCATTCAGGAACATACATGCACACATACTTACACATATATTTACTGTAATATGTAATGTGTGATCTAAGAGCTAAGATTAGTGAAGATTGAAATGAAAGAACTTGTTTGACTTGGCCAGCTATCAAGGGAAATTGCTAATCTGAACAGCAGCCAACAAAACCAGTGTGCTTGTGAATTTGTTACTTGATAAATTCTGACATGAAATATATAAATGTGTCTGTCCATCTACAGTTTTGATGTAGCATGCTTATGGCAGATATTAAATGCATTGATGATTTTAAAGCTTTTAGAGTGTCCAACACAAAACAAATACTACTTAAGTGCTAGGTATTACTGTGCTCTAGGGCCACAGGACTGGCAAGGGGGCAGGTAGTGATTACTCCAACTCAGGATAACCCTAGGTGGCTTAGAGAGTCAACAAAGGTTCACAAAAATGTTGAGGGGAAAAATCAGGGTAGGCATGATGGAGGAGGCAGACTCTGAGCTGAGCCTAAGTGGGTGTAGATCGGATTTAGCATGCTATTGTGTAAACACTTTTTAGAGACAATAACCTTAAATCCTGAAAATTTGGACTCAGTTAGGGGCTTGGAAGCTGCCATGACCCCAGTGAAAGGTCTCAGGTCAATGACATGCACAGCAAATTATTTAACCAATTGTTTGACCATTCTGCAAATATTACTTAGGCCCTATAGATACTAGACTTTAGGGTAGACGAGGACCCAAGAATCAAACTCTGCATGACCTACCCCAAAGGAGCACAAATACATAGTGACAGTTGTAGTTGGACTTTCTTGTTAGACTTTCTCTTGGGGACCACCAGACTTATTATTAATTATGAAAGTTTGGCCTTAGCTTTCCCAACTTGTTCCCAACTAGCTCTTATAACTCAAATTTACCTGTTTTTATTAACCTACATTCTGCTATGTGGCTTTTTCCTCCCCCCATTCTCTGACTCCTCCCATGTCTCACTGGTATTTCTTGTGTGCCTAGATTCATCTCCATTTCCTCTCTCTCCCTGGAAGTCCTGTCTGTCCTGATTAGCTTTTGGCCATTTAGCTCTTTATTAAGCCAATCAGAAGGCACCTTAAGCAGAGACAATCTACAATGTATCAAAAGGTTATCTCACAGAGACAGAGGATGAACCCAGATCCTGGCCTTTCTGCTTATTCTACTTCATGCCAGGACATGTATTCATCAGGACTACTGGATTCATCTTTTACAGGAACCAAATCACTGCAGTTACTTTCTGAATCCTATAGGTGTGCCGGAATAGGACCTTATGTAATCCCATTTCCCAATTTCTCTTCTTCTCCAAGCCTGGGGCTATCTAAATGTCATGTTTATTTTTAAACCACATCCCTACCATTGATTACTCATAATAACCTTTGCCATCTTCTCTGAAACCTAGTCTTTTATATGCTTGCCCTTGCCAGTCAGTCCACCTTGGTGTTGAGCCTCATTCTGGTTGTTATTCTTATTCTGTTCTTCCTTTTTCTGCTCCCTGCCATGTCTACACCCAGTGTCACTGGAGCTATTTAGAGCACTTGAGAGTCAGAAGCAGACATATCTCTATGAATTTGAGGCTAGCCTGATCTACAAGAATGAGTTCTAGGACAGCCAGAGCAAACAGTGAGACCCTGTCTTAAAAAAATAAATTGTAAATAAAATAACAAAAACCTCAAAACCACCATCAACAACAACAGAGTCAAAGCCTGGGACCTGACAGTTCTAATAAGCTAGGTTTGGCCATCCCTGCTCTAGGCCAGTCCTGGGCAGGGTGTGGTCCCACCCATCATTGACCAATCATTATTTGGACTATAATTTCTCCTGCAAGGTGGTCGGACAAAAGTCAGACTGTGTGAAATCTCTTGCAGACAGATAAACTCCCCCATCAGCCTTTTCCTTTTCCTAGCATGAGACTCCTTGAGAAAGCCTATTTCTTGGGGTTGACTATTTCAGTATTCTGATAGCTGCAGGGAAGGTGCAAGTGTCTCTTTAGTATATTTTCATTCCTGCCAGGGTAGTTACACCAGAACTATTCCCCAACTACATGAGGATTCACGTTTATGCTTGAGAAACTACACCCCTAGCCCCACACATTGCATACTGACTCCAACCACATTGTGTAGGAGGCTGCTTCTTTTTCAAGAAAGGCAACCAGACAGTCTCTCTGTCTCTGTCTCTCTCTCCTCCCTACTCACAGAGCTCTTGTAGTCAGCCATCAGGCCCAGCATCTGGAGGCAGCAAGCTTTTCAATAGCCCAGAAAACTTGTCAACAGCAGCCACCTCACCCATGTCAGGGCATCTTAGCTCAAGTTCACAGCATCGGCTGTGCTCTGGGCCCTTCCTTGGTGTTATCAGGCGAGTTTAGCTTCCTTCTTTTGGATTGTTGGTCTTCTTAATAAGATAATTTAAAGACAAATTGAGTAGAATTATATTAGAAGTTGGGAGAAAATCAGATAAGCGGGCTGAAAATCTCCTTAGCTCCTTTTGCGGTGGAGGTGGGTACTTACCCCACAGAGGTGGGAGGCTGCCTAGAAAGTGAGAAACCCAGAGTACCAGAGGAGGAGGCTTAGGCTTCAGGGCAGCATCTAAAATGAAATATAGAAAAGGGGGGAAACTATGCTTAGTGGCTAGTGCAGAACTGAGCTCTTATGTCCCAGGTCAAAGGATTGCACAAGAGACACACGGCATGGTTAGAAACAGAGACTGATTATTAAGGCAAGAAAAACACTCCCAAAGAATGGGAGTGGGCGAGAGAGCCAAGTACAAAGCCTAGGGGAGTGAGTGCCTCTCCAAATTGTGGTTCTGGGGGCTTTTCTAGCACACGCAGTTGTATGAAACTCAGGTGGGGAAGGGATTCTGGGTCAACTGGCTTCTTTCACCAACTAATCTCGATGCTTGGGCCTCCAGTCCCTGTCCTTCCCTCAGCTTCTGGGAATGTGTTGCTGATGACTCACACCTGAGTTCCCCTCAGAGCTCAGCCCTCCATAACGGAAGCAACCTCTACAAAGGTAATAATGCCTTCCCAGGGGTAGCCTGTTTCTTCAATTCATTAGTGCAGGGCGTGCATCTCTGCCCGTTTGCTTTAATCTGGAATAGTTCTAATGGGTCAGAGCATTCCTGAAGAATAGCTAAGGAAGGACTCTAATGCGACTATTTCTCTGCTAGAGGAAGCAGCCTCTACCTGCTTCCATTAGGTTAAGCTCTGGCTGTCTGGAACTCACGCTGTAGGGCAAGCTGGCCTCGAATCCCCGAACTCAGAGATCTGCCTGTCTCTGTCTCCCGAGTGCTAAGATTAAAAGCTCGTGCCACCACCACCCAACTCATTTTACAGACCTTAAAATACCTCCTTCATCCTACACCAACCCACAATAAACCTCCTTGCACACTAGTCTTCTTTCCAGTTTTTGAAGAACTCAGCGTATTATTGCGATCTGGTTTGGGGGGAGGGGGTTACCCCACACTATAAAACTTTAATACTAGCTTGTCAGCTGTGACCACCTAAGCTCCCAGGGCTGGATCTTCGTGTTTCACACGCTATGTACTGCAGGTTCAAGCGCCTAGAACTAGGCCTGCAGAACACAGCACAAGCCAAAGACTGGCTATTGGAACGAATGGGAGGCTAAGGCGGATCACACTGGTAGGCGGGAACTGGAATCCACTCAGAAGCTGTAGCTAATGGGCGCGGCCCTGAGTCTCCGCCCTGAGACCCGACAGGAGGCGGGGCCCAAGCACATCGCGGCCCCCGCAATGCAGCTGCCCGCGGTCCGATTAGTGTGGCTCGGTCGGGCTCCTTACTCCGAGCTGCTGGCACTGCAGGAGCAATGGCTACGACGGCTACAGGCTAACCCTCGCCCGGAGGCCCCTTCGGGGACCGAGGCGGGCGCGCTCTTGCTCTGTGAGCCAGCGGGGCCCGTGTACACGGGCGGACTACGCGGCGGCCTGACGCCGGAGGAGACTACGCGGCTAAGGGCCTTGGGCGCAGAGGTGCGTGCCACCGGCCGTGGCGGCCTGGCCACTTTCCACGGCCCGGGCCAACTGCTTTGCCACCCTGTGCTTGACCTGCGGCACTTAGGCCTGCGCCTGCGCACCCACGTGGCGGCGCTGGAGGCGTGCGCCATGCGCCTGTGCGAGCTCCGGGGCCTGCCGGGAGCCCGCGCGCGGCCGCCACCCTACACCGGTGTCTGGCTGGGCGAGCGCAAAATCTGCGCGATCGGTGAGCGCGCCGGGGCAGAACCGGGGCGGAGCCGGGGTAGGGCCAATCCGGGGAACTCTGGGCTCCTCCGAATGCTCCTGACCTGCCTCACGGATATTTTAATAATTCAAGGCAGAAGAGTCCTTTAGTTCAGCACACATGGAGAAACACCAGGCATGAATTGCCAAGTTACTTCCTGTGACTCAAAACGGACGGACACAATGCCAAATGTCAAACTTCCAAATCAATGGAATTCCTGTATTAAAGGAATCTCGAAAATAAGGGCGGCTGATGTATAACCACAGCTCCCACCCCATAGAATTAGCCCCTTGGCCCAGTCTGTTCCATCCAGGCTCCAGGGGATCCAGTCCAGGCCCACTTTTCCCGAGGCTCCACGGGGTGGGGAGTGTAGCTATTCTAAGATATTTTGGCTTGTCTTGCAGGAGTCCGCTGTGGAAGGCACATCACATCCCACGGCCTGGCTCTGAACTGTTCTACAGACCTCACTTGGTTTGAGCACATTGTGCCCTGTGGACTGGTTGGGATGGGAGTCACTTCCCTGAGTGAGGCACTCCAGAGACTCGTCACTGTGGATGAAGTAATACCATCTTTCCTTGTGGCCTTCCAGGAGACTTTCAAGTGCACGTTAATCTCTGAGGACCCCAGCTGATGGGCACTCACTCATCTTAGCTCAGGGGTCTTGGCTGGGAGATAGCTCCTAGTTTGACTGGAGACTCAGAACCCGATTCTAGAAGGGCTCTGTGATTTACTGACCATGACCAAGGACAGACCCTGAGCCCTGAACTGTTGTTTCCTGTATCTCCCCTCCTATCTCAGGTGTCACCATGAAAACACTATGAAAAGTCACATGCTACATAAAGCACCCCCGTGGCTGTTAACACATATTCCTCCGCTTGGAGACACTCCAGTGTTATAAAGTGTTATTTCTTAATTAATCGTTCCTTTCTCCGTGCTGTATATAACAGCATTTTTTTGGTCTGCAGGTCTTTTGAGTTCTGTGGGAATCAAATCTCTATGACCCAGGTGAAAAGGATGTGATGATTATTCTCAAAAGACCTGGGTCTGTCTTCAATAAAGGTGAAAGACTCTTCAAAAAAATAAAATGAGATTTTTGCCTTTCTGGGTTGAATCTCTCAAGTTTGATAATTTACCTGGTTTTGCTTGGGGTCAACAGAGATGGGCTTGAAGCTATGGAAAAGACAAGGGCTAATTCTTCCTTGTGTACAAATGCTATAAAAAGATTTTCCTACCTGGGATCTCTGGGTCTGTAAGAATGTCACCTCTTGCTAGGTATGAAAACAAAATTTTGCATTAAAAGTGACAGTTATTATCATTGGAAGGTGTAACTGGTGCTGGAGGTTAGTTTCCAAGATGGGTTTCCATCGTGCTTGCTTGGTTGCTTCTAATGGTTGACGAGAGACCTCAGTTCCTTACCAAGTGGGCTCTATTGCAGGCCAGCAGGCAAGTAATGGGTAGGAGTCAAGTTAGGAGCTCCCGTGGCTTTGGTGGCCTAGCTGTGGAAGTCACACAGGCATTTCTGTACTCTCACAAATGGGCCTTCTTTGGAGTGGAAGGGACATTCCCTTAGCTTCAAAAGATGAAGCTCTTTAGGAGCCATCTTGGAGACCAGTTCTCATAACTGGTGAAAAGTAGATTGATAGATCCTTGATTGAGCCCGTGGTACAGCACTTGGCACTATGGAAGTTATTTCTTCTATTTCCTCTCTCTAGGCTTCAGTGCTGTTGTTCACTAGAAATGCAGTAAGAGCTGCATTAAAAAGGCTTTTGTTTGTTTTTTTCTTTGAGGCAGGGTTTCTCTGTATAGCCCTGGCTGTCCTGGAACTCACTCTACTATAGACCAGGCTGGCCTCAAACTCACAGAGATCAGCCTGTTTCTACCTTCCGAGTGCTGGAATTAAAGGTGTGCACCACTACCGCCTGACTTAAAGAGGCTTTTTTTTTTTTAAGTGATTAGTTTTAATACATTTGCCTCAATTCATTAAAGAAATCCCTGTGAAGTATATAGCATTACTATTTTATAGTTATCATATTAAGTTGTCAAAATTTAGTGCATGCTTTGAACTTTTAAGAAGCCTCACTTTACTTACCACAGTCTATAGATGCTCATGAGTCACATGGGGATAGCCTTAAAACTGACTTTTTAAAAATTTGATACAGGCTCTTATGTAGTTCAGCTGGTCTTGAACTACTGATTCACCTGTCTCTACCTCCTGAGTGTAGAGATTATAAGTATGTGTCTGAAACCATTCCTGCTTCCATTTGCTTGATTTTTGACCTAGAACTTGCTATGTAGCCAAGGTTGACCTTGAACTCTTGATCCTCTTTGAGAGCCTGCACTGTTCTGGGCCATAGAGAATAGCTTCATGATGGTGGATCGAGTTGACTTTCCTGAGCCACACTTTCACAGTATGAAACACTGAAAGCATCTGCCTAGGCCTGAGAGGAATTGCTTGGTTTAATGACAGGTAAAGTAGCTGAGAAGAGTATTGACACAGACCCAATTCACAGTGACTAGTCTCATGATTGTTCATTCTGTTCTCCATTCGTTTTTTCTTTTTCTTTCTTTTCATTTTTTTTCCCCAAGGCAGGGTTTCTCTGTAGCTTTGGAGGCTTTCCTGGAAGTGGCTCAGTTGATCAAGCTGGCCTTGAACTCATAGAGGTTTGCCCATCTGTGCCTCCTGAGTGCTGGGATTTAAGGTGTGCCCCATTGATTTTCTTAAGCAAACTATTCCCAGGCTCTGTAACAACTTTCCCTCATGGCAGTTGGGTCTTTAAGAATGGAGCTATGGGGGTTGGAGAGATGGCTCAGCAGTTAAGAGGCAGTGAGTTCAATTCTTAGCTCACGTGTCAGCTCACAACAGTCTGTAACTCCAGTTTTAGGGGATATGACACTTTCACACCAACGCACATAAAATGTTTAAATGAATTATATTTAAAAGAATAGAGCTGTGACTATCTTGTTTCCTTCATATCTCTAGAAAAAAACTACTGGCATATAGGAGACCAGTCCTAAATACTGAGTGGCATTGAACTGTTTAAAGTCTCCCATCCTGGGCTAGGGGATGGCTCAGAGGATAAAGGGCTTGTTGTAGAAGTGTGATGACCTGATTTCAAATCCCAGAACCCACATAGAAAATGTCAGGGTAGTTGTCCTGGCTAATTTTATGTCAGCCTGACATAAGCTAGAGTCATTGGAGAGGAGGGAACCTTGATTGAGAAAAGGCCTCCATAAGATTGGGTGGTAGGCAAGCCTATAAGACATTTTCTTAACTACTGATTGATGGGGAAGGGCCCATCTTTTGGTGGGTAGCACCACCCTGGGCTAGTGGTCCTGGGCTCTATAAGAAAGCAGACTGAGCAAGCCAGAAGTAGCATTCCTCCATGACTTCTGCATCAGTTCCTGTTTCCAGGATCCTGCCCTGTTTGAGTTCTCCTGACTTCCTTCAGTGATGGACTACAGTGTGGAAGTTTTAAGCCAAATAACCCTTTCCTCCCCACCTTGGTTTTTGTCATGGTGTTTTATTGCAGCAATAGATACCCTAAGTAGGACAGAAGTACACATTTGTTCTTCTAAGATTTATTTATTTATTATATATACAGTGTTCTGCCAGTATGTATGCATGAATGTCAGAAGAGGGCACCAAACCTTATTACAGATGGTTGTGAGCCACCATGTGGGTGCTGGGAATTGAACTCAGGATCTCTGGCAGAGCAGCCAGTGCTCTTAACCTCTGAGCCATCTCCCCAGCCCCAGAAGTACACATTTGTAAACCAAGCACTCCAGTGGTAACATGGGAGAAGAGGCAGAAGAGAAACCTGTAGGGCCAGGTTGCCTGGCAAATGCAGTTGTAACAGCACAAGATATAAGACAGAAAATAGAAGATGTTCTCTGACCTCCACACACATACCATGGCAAGTATACACACCCCACACACACACACACACACACACACACACACAGAGAGAGAGAGAGAGAGAGAGAGAGAGACAGACAGACAGACAGACACACAGACACACACACACACACACACACACACACACACACACACACACACTGTCTCCCATGCTGCTCATCCGGGCATCAGCCCCAGCTTATGTCTCTTTAGGTCCATGTCAGTAACCTTAGGTGTGGATAGACCGACCAGACCACAGCAAAACGTTATTTCCTGTCCTGGACTTGAGTGGCACAAACCAGTGTTCATGTATTACTGCAGCCTTGCAGGTGTGTTCTCTTTGGCTCACAGGATTTGTGTGTGTATGTATGTGTGTGTGTTTATGTATGTATGTAAATGTATTGCTTGCCAGCATTAAGAAATGGGTCTTATGATTGAGAATTGGAAGCTAAGACATTATATTCTCCTTACCTCCGGGACTACCCTTCTTTCTTATCCAGCCCATGTGCTGACATTGACTTCTGACTCCCAAAGGGGTTTGGGTTGGTGAAGCCCAGACTAGATAGTCCAGTGCTCTGAGACACAGCAGAGCGTAAACCGTGAGGTCACAGCACCAGTTCTGTGCTGCAGTCATGGAGAGGCCTTTGAAGAGGGACCAGGATGTCCACACGCATATAAAAATCACTTAGTGTCACTAGTCATCACTGAAATGCAAAGCAGAACTACAGTGAGACACTCCCTCGATCCAGCTGCATGGCTAGTGTCGAAAAGACAGGGTAACAAGAGTTGTGAGGATGCAGAGGAAAGGGACCCTTAGATGCTGTTGATGAGATTGTAGATTAGAATATCCATTACATAAAATAAAACACACAGAAAACAAAACAAAACATTTTCACCTGACTCAGCATTCTCACTATTAATTATTGTATTGGTTACTTTTCTGTTGCTGAGATAAAAACACCATGACCAAAAGCAACTAATAGAAGAGTTTATTTGGGCTTATGGTTCCACAGGCACAAGAGTCCATCGTGGCAGGGAGCACAGCAGCAAGAAGCAGGCATGGCAGCATGAGCAAGAAGCTGAGAGCTGCCATCTCAACCGTAGATAGAAAGCATAGAGTTAGAACTGGAGGTGTCTTAAGACTTTTCATCTGAAAACCTGTCTCCAGGGACAGACTTCCTGCCTCATGGCCCTCCTTCTAAACCTCCTCAAATACCTCCACCAACTGGAGACTAAGTGCCTTTAAATACTGGAGCCTATGGGTGACTTTTCTGATTCAAATCACCACATGTATGTATACAAAATACACGACATTAGTATGCCACCGATATGCTCACTCTCATGCTCACACCAGCACGGTTCACAAAAGCCAAGACGTGGAAATGGGAGCAGCCAAAGTGATCACTGGCTGATGAGTGGATGATGTTAATGTGAATGCTATTACCCCTATAAAAGGAGGGGCCCTGTTATCTGATGAATCTGAAGAACATCCTTGAGTGCAACAAATCAGATTCAGAAAACCAAATGCTAGGTGGTCTCGCTTGTATTTGTATCTTAATTAAGTTTCTTTTTTCTTTTTCTTTCTTTCTTCCTTCCTTTCTTTCTTTCTTTCTTTCTTTCTTTCTTTCTTTCTTTCTTTCTTTCTTTCTTTCTTTCTTGTTTTTCTCAAGACAGGGTTTCTCTGTGTAGCTCTGGCTGTCCTGGAACTTGCTCTGTAGGCTAGGCTGGTCTTGAACTCACAGAGATCCGCCTGCCTCTGCCTCCCAAGTGCTGGGACTAAAGGTATGCGCCACCATGCCAGGCTCTTAGCTAAGTTTCTATTGCAGAAATAAAACACCATGACCATGGCAACTTATATAAATAAGAATTTATTTAGGGCTTATGGTTCCAGAGGAATTGGAGTCCATCACCAATATGGTGGGGGCGGTTACAGCAAGCACCAGACATGGAGGCAGGAACAGCTGAGAACTCCCATCTCCAACTGGAAACAGGAAGCAGAGAGAGCAAATCAAAGTGGCACAAGGCTTTAAACTCTCAAAACTTGCCCCAGTGGCATACTTCCTCCAAGACCACACCTCCTGGGCCTGCCCAAACAGCTCCAGCTGGGGACAAAGTATTCAAATGCCGGAGAATACGGGACACATCTCATTCAAACCATGGAGGTTGTGACTGAAATCATTGTCACCGGAGGCAAGGGAAGATGGCAGAAGGGAAGGAAGGTGAGACTAGTCTTTGGGTGGGGGCAGAGTAGGTTCTGGTGCTCTGTTTTTGCATGGTAAAGTGATTACAGTTAATGTAGTGTATGTTTCAAAATCTATGGGAG